TCATGAATGCAATTAAAAATACGAAACCTGGGTTAGAATTTATTTTACGCTTGAAATATTATTGTAAACTCTATTTGGATATTTTGACTCATCGCTGTACATTTTGTGAATTCTTGCACATTTAAATTCTCTCTAAACGTTTAAATATCCACAGTTTTATAAAAGTAAGAATCACCGTCGTTGCATTTATTTGCATTTTTCACGCATTTATGAGGAATTTAAAGTTGCAAAAATATGCTAAACTATGTAAACTATCCAAGACATAGTACTCGTTGTAATATACAGCATGTAAAGCGAATCTGTACTTATGTTCCATTTGTTCAATTGCATTCATAAAATATAAAATAGATTCATCTATTGCAGTACTCCTAGAAAGAGTAATCAGCCTGATTATCAAGTTATGGATCGCTGCTTTGCATTTATGGGAAATTTAATGCTATAAAAATGCGTATACCTGCTTCTTCTCGTAATTTTTATAATATTTAACTAGCGAAAGGAGTTTCCACTTATGTTCCATCTCGTCGATTGCATTCATGAAAAATGAAATAAAAAAAAACAAAAATAAGGCCATCCATTCCAGCACTCCTAGAAAGAGTAATCGGTCTGACTATCAAATTATGAATTGCCATGCATTTATGGGAAATTTGATGCTATAAAAATGCATATACCTGCTTCTTCTTACAACTCTTCTAATATTTAATGAGTGAAAGGAGTTTCCACTTATGTTCCATTTCCTCAATTGCACTCATGAAAAATGAAATAAAAAAACAAAAATAAGGCCATTTATACCAGCACTGCCGGAAACAGTAATCAGTCTGACTATCAAATTATGAATTGCTATGCATTTATGGGAAATTTAATGCTATAAAAATGCATATATACCTGCTTCTTCTTCTTTTTATAATGCTTATGATATTTAGTGAATGAAACGAGTTTCTATTTATATTGCACTTCTTCAATTGCATTCAATTGAACGATAAATGATTAGAAAATAAAGAATCACTCGGTATAGAAGTAATCAGGCTGACTCATATCCGTGCAGCGTTTTGCCTCGTCACTCGTGAAGCGTAAATTGGAGGTATCTTCTGCTCGTAGGAACAAGCGCAGAGCAACGATACGCGTTAATGGACGGTGAATTGGAAGCGTGTCGTCGCGAAACAGGACAATCTATATTAGTATCTCCTTATTGGTATCCCTTCCTCGTTCCACACGTACGTATGTAGATGTATGCATATATTATTCAAGCATATTTCTTAGATGCCAAGAAATGACCAGCCACGTTTGATAGATTTTATAGAAAAGCGACGTTGGAACGCGAAGTTCCTCACGGTTTGCGCAGCAAAACCGACGCGTTCCGTTTATTTATAAACGTCCTCCTGCTCGGACGGCTTTCAAAATTCCGATCCCATCCGGATATTTTTTCGCACGCTCCGGGGGAATCGATTTTATCGCGACGCAGCTTCGTAACACCGCGATCAACCGTGACGATCCTCCGCAACCAATGCTCTCTCTCTCTCTCTCACTCTCTCTGTGTCTATCTACGAAAAAAAAAAAAAAAAAATTACAGAACCAATGAAAAGAACTGGAAGAGAAAAAAGGAAAAGAACGAACGAATATGAAGAACCTTTGTTCGATCTTGATTCAATTTCCTCTGGCCTCGGCGCGACGAAAGATTAATTATCAGTCATTCGACGAGAAACGATCCACCGTGTGAAAACGATTCGCTGTCGAGGAAAAAGAAAGAAAAAGGAAAAAAATAGGAGAAACGAAGGATCACCGGGATGACCAATTTTCTCGTTGTTTCGATGAAGTTCTTACTTGTCGCGATGGTAACTTCCAATCGATTCCACCAACCAAGATGAAAATCGTCCGACTAACTCGTTCGTCATAGATCCACCTCACGGATGACGGATGAACGAATTCATTGTTCTTGCTGTCGAGTGTCACCAGAGACACGCACTGACGCGGATTCCGGGTAGCGTGGAATCTCGCTGATGCGAGCGAGACGCGTGTTAGCGTGACGTTGGCGTCGTCAAATTCGTTCGCGCGATGTACACGGGACCGAGTCTTTCTTTTTTCTTCTTTTTTTTCTTTTCTTTGTTTCCACCGTTATACGAGTCGTACATTTAACAAGATAGAAATAACGAAATAGAGATACTACAGATCATTGGATGCACTTTTCGACGACGCAGTCACTACTCTGAATGTCTCTGATTTGCTTCCACCTCTTAAACGGCTCTTACCATACGATGCGATTGCCTCTTTGGATACTCGGTTACTACGCTTGTTTATTTTCGTCGAATCGCGGGAATCGTTTGAATGCGAGCGGATGCGAACTTAATCCAGGTCAGGAATGCGTCGATGGTTGAAAATCCGTCGATAGAGCGTAATATCGGGAAAAGTCGGATTAATTCCGTCGCAGTTCTCGAACGCCGATCCCTTTAAACGGATCCGTGCGTTTACACGCTAGATCGTTTTCACTTGGAATTTCAATTTCTTTCTCTTATGATAGATGCGGTTTAAAATGATACGATCGCGTAGCAGCTGTTTCGTGAAATTTATCACCGTCGACGGTGGCCGTTATTGGAGAAAATCCGAGCATTCTTCGTGACGTTCGTCCTCGAGATATTTCAATCGAGACCAACCTCATCGAGATTTCATTTGCCCGTCGCGGTTTAAAGAATGCGCACAGCGAAAGTATCGCCGCTGCGAATTCTTTCGTCGCTTAATTTACACCTTAATTTACGTGTAGATCCGGTTGCTCGATCTGACGACAGAAAGTTCTCCAAAATATCTCTTAATATCCTGCAGGAATTTAAGTTTCTTCAAATTAAGTTTCTTCCTGCGTTCCAGTTTCTTGATATCCTTGTGGTTGGAAATAGTTGATCCTATTTCTAGGCAACTTCCTTTCACGGCTTCTGTTTTAACGCTAAGTTGTACTTTAACAATTAGTTATCCACTAATTAAACGATAAACGTATTTACCTTGGGTGAGAGCTGGCTTTAAATTTCACATTGTAACGCAGGAACGCGAGAGAATATGTGTTTCAATAATAAATAATTAATAAGAGGATATTTTCCTCGCAATCTAAATTGGGATTGAGTCTTGAAAGAATTAAGAGGCCTTAACTCCTCTCTCTCTCTCTCTTTTCATTCGCATTTGATCGTCTCCACATGTTGTCCATGTCGTCATACTCCGTCTCACTGATATAACATCTCAAGCAGACAGTGAAATCGATCAGATATATGAAACATAAAAGCGTGTGCTGGCTATTTTCAAAACTGCAACTCGTTTTCTTTCTTGCTTTGCAGTTCCATGCGATCAATCAGCGCTGATTAGTCGAATCGAACTGGGCGGCAGCAACCTCTTTTCGAATCGACGCCTATTAATATTGTAGCCGCACCCAATTCTCGCGGCAACGCATCCTCTTCTCTTTCGTATCTCAAGAAGACTCGACCACTGTTCAAGCAACGCTTCGTTTCACCCGTGTTCCGTGACCTTTCGCCGACTCACAGTCTTAAATAACGACCGTCTTTCCTTCCACCTTTGACTTCTTTGCACGGCCACTCGTTCCTCTGTGCAAATCCTTGGCTTTGCGTGCACTCAAACGAGTGGAACAGGTGCACTCGTCGATTCGTCGAATGTTTCTCTTTGACTGGAATAAGAATTACGATGAAAAGACGCGTCGGAGCGTTGGCTGGTTGTTCCTCGAAGCAGAAGGGTTGCTTTAAGTTCCTCCTTAACCCATTGACGTACTTCGACGAGCCCCGTTATTCGATAGCCTCGTGAAACCCCATCGACTATTCACGCGGAGAGGTGAGCACGCTTTCAGGACACGCGACGAACAGACAACGTTTCGCGTCTCCCGACGAATGACGAACGATTTTCGAGGGGTCGAGAGAGCCAGAGCGCTGGATATTAACGAGAAAGCTTTCGTTTCGAGCAGAAACGACCAAGGGGAAAGGGGCAGAACGGCGAGAAGAAAGAGAACGACCAAGACGAAGACCTTTTTTTTCAAACGACCCGTTTTCGCGTGTTTGAAACGCGAAATAAAAGAGAGAAAAAGGGGGAACGGGTGTTTCTTGCGCAGATAAAGGACGCGATCGGCGAAGAGGAAGCCTCTCTCGCTTCGGAAGCAGTCCTTTCTCTCCCTCGTCTAAAAAGGCCTTACGGATGAAGCACGAACGACCATCACGATCACAAGGACGCGGAGTCTCGTGAAAGAGGAAACGAAGGCGCGAACGAGACCAGCACGCGTTCAAGCTTTCTACGGAGCGGCGACGATCTCGAAAACTGTAGGGGTCGGTTAGAGCCCTCAGGTAAATAGCTGCTAACAACTTTTCTTTTGCTTTTTTTCTTTCTTGCGCTGCGAGGGAAAGCCGTGACGGCTTTATTAACGCAACCGTGGTGGCTTCCCAGCGTTTACCACGACGTCCCGTATTCGTCCCTCTTGCAAGAGAACTCGCTGTTCGTCATCATCGTCGTTGATAGTACATCCTCGTCGACGCGAATACTCCAGTCTCCAGGCACGTACTCGAACGCCAACGATCTTTAGATTTGAAACGGAAAATCTGCCGTGAGAGAGGAATGAAACGGGAGCAGAATGAACTGGCAACGATCGAGCAATGGTATCCTGGCTCAGTTTGGGGGCAACGATGACCTCGAGCGTGTCTAAGGGGGTGGGTTGGAGCGGTGGTGCGAGCAACGAATCGCTGCCTCGACGTCGAAGCCAGCCGACGCTAGCCACAGAAAGATAGATCGCTGGGATCTGTGGTAGGTCGCATCGATCGTCGAATCCTGGCCTCTACGATGAACACAACCCAATATGAATAACTAGATGCTATCGATAAACACAGTGAAATACGAATACCGACAAACGACGCGGAATTGCTAATAGGATTTCGACGAGTAATGAATTTTTCGTGGAAACCAAACGCACCCCTTTAAGCAGAGAACAGATAGCCATCAGGCTTAACCCAGCTCTGTGTCTTACTACTTACCCCAGTGTCGTGTCCTCCATGCCAACAATCGGGAAGCAATCGATCCCTGGTTCCCGCTCTACTTCATCCTCCCGGATCGGCCCGTTTCAGATCGTATCTCTCCCTGTTCTTCTTCTTCTTCTTCTTCCTCGTGGCACGTTCTCTCGGCCTGGGCCAGCGGCGTACCGTCACACACGCGTTCTCTGCCCGTCAGCTTACATCTTGACGGTCCGTGCCAACTGTGTTCCGCAGGAGACACGCTCTCTCGGCCCTCTGCAGCGACACACGACGACCCACGTCCTACTCATGCTCGCACTCCATCCACCGCGCACACGCTCCTCGCTCTGCCCTTACCTACTGCCTACTTCCAGCCAGGGATGCAGTCTCTCCAGCTTCGGGCCACCGGCACAATCTTTCTTCGCACTTTGACCGCCAAGTTTGAAATTTTACCTGAAAACAGCGTCCCAGTTATACGCTGAAGTAACTACTGAAGGCTACAACTTAGTCTATTTTTCTTTTACTTTGTAAATGCAGGGTACGTCGATTTTTTCCATCATCACTCTGAGATTTGAAACTTGAAAGTTGCACTTGATCGTTGAGACGAGGTTTCTCTTAGTGGGTAAATCTGCTTTCTGTAACTTTTATTTGGCGGATATAGGGTGCTTTGATTCTTCCGACGACAATTTTGAACATTTACTTGAAAGCATCGCTTCGCTGAATCGAAATTAAATTCGCTTTTAGTTTGCAAGTATAGCGCTCCTTTATCAAAACTTTGCAGCTTTTGTTAGAATATTATCTTCGTAGATATAGGAAAGCAAAGAAAAGTGCATCGAATGTTACAATTTCTTAAAAGCTTCTTCTTATGAATTCCTCTTAATACGCTCCCTCTTAAATTACGAATATTTATGCCATTTTCTTGCAATGAACATACACGCACGTAAATACCACGTATAAATAATAATCATCTACTCGGATAATAATAATTGAGACGTTTATAAAAAGTCGTGTTGGTCAATTTCACTTCTCAGATACTCGTTTGATACTGTTAATTATTCTACCGTTATAAGAACAAAGCTGGTCGTCGTCATCTTTCGCAGCTTCCCCAAATTTCTTCGTTGCTCGTGCAAAAATTCCTGGTGAAAAATTGCAAAATGCTTTCGTCGGCTCGCTGGCGTATAAAAAACTAAAAACAAGAAACGTGGAAAGATAGAATCGAACGGCAAATAAAATAAAATAGAAAGCGAATAAAAGGAATACGAACGATGAGTAAAGGGTGGAAAATCGAGAGAGAGACAGGGCGCCAGAATCGATGCAGTCCTCTCTGTGGATTTAGTGCATAGTAGGGGCGCACGCTCCCCCAGGGTAGGATTAGTCACGATCCCACTCGGTCGTAAAGTTTCAAAGGTAAAAGGAAAAAAGGTGGAACCTCGTAACGAGCTGTCACCTCGTGCCGTTCTATTATTCCGGTTCGGATCATGTACCATGTAACTGAAGAGAATTTCTCGGCGACGTTAATTGTCGAGTCGTAGATAGGCATCGTAGGTAGGTAGAATCGATCGTGACGAAAGGCTCGATCTGAAATTGATAGAAAACGAGAAAGAACCCTGGGGAAATGAAATCTTGGGGCACGATTGTACTTTTCTCTTTTTCTCGGTAAAAATTGATGAATTTATTCGTCGATTTGGCGGAATAAAGGGAACATCAGACGATTTAATTGAATACAGGAAAATAAAAGAATGTTAGATATGAATAGAAATTTAATACGTAAAATTGTACCTAACGCGCGTATCGTTTCTTCCCGTTACATTTGAAAGCTGGGTAAACATTTAACACTGTGTTCACCATTTTCTACGTTATTACCTTGTTAATTGAGAGAAACGAAGATAGCGTACAAAGCTTCGTTTACTAACGACATGCAGTTATCGTACAAAATTGTTTAATGGGCCCCGTGGCTATGTTTGCGATTAACGAGCTTACAGGGTACTCGAGTTTATGTATCCACCTCTGTATCACCGCTATCGGATAGAACTACGCTCCCCAGAAAACAGGGCTGGCGCTACTCGCTGGCGTTACCCCTGGAAAATGTCCATCAACTTGTATCAGAATCGATATTTTAACGTTAGAATTATTTCTTCTTTACTTATATGTAATTTAACGTCTATTTGCCTTTTACTGAATTATAAGAGATAGCTTGGAATTTCAGAATTTGACACTGACTTCTTTGCTTCGATGATAAAGTTACCCATGCGTCGTCCAATTAACATGGCGTCGCCCTTTAGGGCCGTCGCGGCGCCAAGCGTCTCTCGCGATCGATGCGCTCGCAGTCCTTGCATGCTCTCGTCAAAATAGTGTACCCTATGCAACCAATAACGTATCAAATAACAAACTTTTCACTCGTAACAACAAAGATTTAACGCCAATATCTCATACCTCTCTAGTCATGTTCCTTCGATCGCGAAACATAATTTGCTTTAATCCTGAGGCACGCTCCTCGCAGAATGAACTTTTTCACCAAGACAACGACTTGATCTGTGCGCTTAACCGTTGCCAGTGGCACGTGCGTATAACCATTTTATCCTTCGATAATGGTTCTAAGAATATAGCTAAAGCTAATATAAGTTGAACTTCTAACGTTAATGATCCATGATTCGTGATCGATGATCGGCATCGAGCAGGGAAACACGGGGCGTCTCATATAAAGTTTTTATTTCGTTAGTACGTACACATTTGCGCCAGCACAAAAAAGGATCGTATTATATAAAGTGAGAACAATGCAGAGTTTCCTTTTCCGAGACTAGACACATTATAGGGCGTGGAGATCTCAGGGCCATCGTGTTTTTGCCCATTGTTTGCTCGTGATTACTTGCATCGATCAAACGACGCTTCATACGATTCGTTCAATTTGCGAAATTGCCGATGACCCTGAGATCCAACATCAAGAACGTACGCGATACCGCAGTTGATATTTCAGAGAAGCGTCGACCGACTCTTCCTTAACCCTTATTTAGACAACAAAAATACAAAAGTTTATCTAACGAGTCAATAAGCAAATTCGAAGCTTCGATATTCTAAATTTTTACATAAATTTCGACATCGAATTTAAGTTGCGATATTCTCATTAGAAAATAATAAATTGGTGCAGGAAATGTAGGAACGAATAACTGTGTACTTGGTTGCCTACAGTAGGGTTAATCATGCAGTTCTATCTCATTCTTTCATAACCATTACAACCCCTGCACTGAAATATCTAGATTATTACTGTTAAATCCAGCCATTTCTTAAAAAAACTTTTGAAGAATTTTTTACTTCTCAGAACTAAGAAATATCCCAATGCAGAAGGTTGCTCACAGTAAAAAACACAGACTGGTCAACGCATTACCATGAAGAGTCGACGAAGTTACATCGCAGTTCACATGTTCATGGTATTTACAAGGGCAGTGTTAGAAATATTCGAGTTATGCTAATAAAAGGCAGGCACTAAGTGACTCTTCAAGGTTCTTTCCTTGCAAACGGAATAAGCCAAAACGCGCAATATCGTTGCTTTCTTCTGTCTGACCACGAGTTAATCATAAGCTTCCTCGTGTTTCATTCTTTTTTAGGTATTTTATGAATTCCACACAATAAGGGATACACCGAAGGACAACCGTAAATTATCTAAAATCATTGAAACTTAGACACGTATGTTGTTGGTTGCGCTTAAATTCACAGTTATCATCTATCGACGACTGTCAAGCTTAAGTACATGTCGAAAATGCAAAAATTATATTAAATAGCTTTATATTCCATCTGTAACGAAGCGGCGGTGTTTGTTTCTTTATATCGATACATAAACGTAAAAGTGTAAGAAAGAAACAATCACAGCAGTTATCACTCTTTCTTCGCTTTTTTATAGTTTATATAAAAATGTATATTGCAATTTAAGTTGGTATTATACTGCTTCAGCGTGAAATAAGAATTCTTTTATGAGTCAGCACGAAACTTTGATCCTTGGAGCCAAGATATAACTGCGTATACTTTTATTATCGCCCATGATTTCCTTTTTATTTTTATGGCGCCGTCATCGTGTCTAGCTGCGATCTACAAAAATAGTTTTCATTCTCATCGGCAATTCTGACGTTCGTTTTTCGTGTTTCCATCATACTCATTGCATTGTCCCGAAGTATGCGAATTATTTCATAGTTTAAAAATTCATTTACGAGCCTAATTCGACCAATTCTGCTCTTTGTCGAACTCTCTTATTGTTACAAAACGGTAATAAATCAAATTTAACAGTTCACTAGATAACATTTCTAACGTGGTAAATTTGGCTGAGGAATTAAAAGTATCATGACTGATCGATTAATGTATTCGTCTCTAATCGATACCAATACGCGCTTGCGACATTTAGCTCTACGATATTTTTTTTCTTATTGATATATCTCATGCGAATTTTACAATCGAGTCACTAATAAGACTTTTTCTGTACAATATGGCCAACGTACAAACTTTCACGTCCTTAAGCAACAAGTAACTTTCACTACACGGAAAACAATCGGATACTATTCAACTAAGTACTTTACGTCTTTTTCTCCGATAGGCTCGATTGCAATCTACCCTAACAATTAACGCAAAGCTTCGAAAAAGAGTCGCAAACTTCATTGCAGACGCCATCCTCTGAATCTTTTTCATAAAAACATGATACAGAATATACGTGTTCCTATGTGAGTGAAAATTTCGTCTCCCTCTCTTCAAATATGTCTAGTGTGTCCGCGTATTGTAAAAATTCAAACTTCTCTTTCTCGTGAGGCCATTCGCCACGCACAAACTCGCCTCTTCATTTAGTCCTTAATGTATTTGTTATGCTTCTCAACCCTGAAGAATCGATAAATATAATTTCTAGAACAATTACTCGGCGTGTATATATAAAAAATCCCGAGTCTCTCTGATCTATAATCGAGACCTATGAGACCTTCGACTCGTAGATCCGTTAGTGGAGATCAGATCCTGACAACTGTCAGGTAAGTTTCGCGTCGTCCGACGATTCGCTGAAGAATCTTCTTCATGAACGTATGGAAGACGTAGTCGAAGACGTCGACACAAAACGGTTCAGTTTGCTGTCGATTATGATCTCGTCGCCGTTCCGAATGTTGTATCGGTATAACTGCTTGTTCGGATACAGCATCTCTTCTGGTCCATATTGCGCCTTCATCACCTTGAACACGACGAAATTTTAAGATAAAGCAGAGTTCAGAAGAATATCTGAAATGAATTTACCTCTGATTACTATATGTATAGAGCTTATGTTGGAAATTTAATGCGATACCCAGGACAGGATGCGAGGGGAAGGATGGGGAATTCTTATATTGCGATTTCGTGCTTTTT